AACACCTGGTCCACACACCCCCTACCTTTCCTAAAGCCTCCTTGTTCATCTGCTATCCTATTCTCTGTCTTACTCTTAATTCTTTCAATTATAACTCTACCATACACCTTACCAGGTACACTCAACAGACTTATCCCCCTATAATTTTTGCACTCTCTTTTATCCCCTTTGCCTTTATACAAAGGAACTATGCATGCTCTCTGCCAATCCCTAGGTACCTTACCCTCTTCCATACATTTATTAAATAATTGCACCAACCACTCCAAAACTATATCCCCACCTGCTTTTAACATTTCTATCTTTATCCCATCAATCCCGGCTGCCTTACCCCCTTTCATTTTACCTACTGCCTCACGAACTTCCCCCACACTCACAACTGGCTCTTCCTCACTCCTACAAGATGTTATTCCTCCTTGCCCTATACACGAAATCACAGCTTCCCTATCTTCATCAACATTTAACAATTCCTCAAAATATTCCCTCCATCTTCCCAATACCTCTAACTCTCCATTTAATAACTCTCCTCTCCTATTTTTAACTGACAAATCCATTTGTTCTCTAGGCTTTCTTAACTTGTTAATCTCACTCCAAAACTTTTTCTTATTTTCAACAAAATTTGTTGATAACATCTCACCCACTCTCTCATTTGCTCTCTTTTTACATTGCTTCACCACTCTCTTAACTTCTCTCTTTTTCTCCATATACTCTTCCCTCCTTGCATCACTTCTACTTTGTAAAAACTTCTCATATGCTAACTTTTTCTCCCTTACTACTCTCTTTACATCATCATTCCACCAATCGCTCCTCTTCCCTCCTGCACCCACTTTCCTGTAACCACAAACTTCTGCTGAACACTCTAACACTACATTTTTAAACCTAGCCCATACCTCTTCGACCCCATTGCCTATGCTCTCATTAGCCCATCTATCCTCCAATAGCTGTTTATATCTTACCCTAACTGCCTCCTCTTTTAGTTTATAAACCTTCACCTCTCTCTTCCCTGATGCTTCTATTCTCCTTGTATCCCATCTACCTTTTACTCTCAGTGTAGCTACAACTAGAAAGTGATCTGATATATCTGTGGCCCCTCTATAAACATGTACATCCTGAAGTCTACTCAACAGTCTTTTATCTACCAATACATAATCCAACAAACTACTGTCATTTCGCCCTACATCATATCGTGTATACTTATTTATCCTCTTTTTCTTAAAATATGTATTACCTATAACTAAACCCCTTTCTATACAAAGTTCAATCAAAGGGCTCCCATTATCATTTACACCTGGCACCCCAAACTTACCTACCACACCCTCTCTAAAAGTTTCTCCTACTTTAGCATTCAGGTCCCCTACCACAATTACTCTCTCATTTGGTTCAAAGGCTCCTATACATTCACTTAACATCTCCCAAAATTCTCTCTCTCTCCTCTGCATTCCTCTCTTCTCCAGGTGCATACACGCTTATTATGACCCACTTCTCGCATCCAACCTTTACTTTAATCCACATAATTCTTGAATTTACACATTCATATTCTCTTTTCTCCTTCCATAACTGACCATTTAACATTACTGCTACCCCTTCCTTTGCTCTAACTCTCTCAGATACTCCAGATTTAATCCATTTATTTCCCCCCACTGAAACTCTCCTACCCCCTTCAGCTTTGTTTCGCTTAGGGCCAGGACATCCAACTTCTTTTCATTCATAACATCAGCAATCATCTGTTTCTTGTCATCTGCACTACATCCACGCACATTTAAGCAACCCCAGTTTTATAAAGTTTTTCTTCTTCTCTTTTTAGTAAATGTATACAGGAGAAGGGGTTACTAGCCCATTGCTCCCGGCATTTTAGTCGCCTCATACGACACGCATGGCTTACGGAGGAAAGATTCTTTTCCACTTCCCCATGGACAATAGAAGAAATAAAAAAGAACAAGAGCTATTTAGAAAAAGGAGAAAAACCTAGATGCATGTATATATATATATGCATGTGCGTGTCTGTGAAGTGTGACCAAAGTGTAAGTAGGAGTAGCAAGATATCCCTGTTATCTTAGCGTGTTTATGAGACAGAAAAAGAAAACCAGCAATCCTACCATCATGTAAAACAGTTACAGGTTTCTGTTTCACAGTCATCTGGCAGGATGGTAGTACTTCCCTGGGTGGTTGCTGTCTACCAACCTACTACCTACCCATTCATGACCGCATATTAGAATGGCTACTTGGACATTTATTGGAAAATGACATCATTTGTTTACTTTTGAACATCGGCAAAAATCAAACATTTCCCCTACTTTGAGCTCAATATCAAGGTTCTTTTCATAGTAAAACCAATCAAAATCACCTCTATTTCTATAATATATTTACCATTCTATCAAATGAGACCAAGAAAACGAGAATACAACCATAAATACTATACAAAAATAGACCACAAAGTCGGCATTTTAATTAACCCTTTGGGGGTCACCAGGCCCTCTCAGAGACTTGTTCTCAGGGTCTCCAAAATTTAAAAAAAAAAAAAAAATTTCTTATGAAAAGATAGAGAATCTTTTCCCGATCATAATGACACCAAAAGTATGAAACTTGATGGAAAACTTAAGGAATTATGCTCTTGCGAAGTTAGCGGTCTCGATGATGTTTATGCATCGGCGATTTTGCCCAATTTGAGCCCTATTTTCGGCCAATTCCAGTGTACTAGTTGACAAAAATCATAACTATTTTGCTAGAACTCTGATTTTTCTATTGAATGAGTACAAGGAACTCTGATTTTTCTATTGAATGAGTACAAGGAACCACCCATTTACTGATTTCAACTATCCAATAAAGTGGTCAGAATTTATCAATTTTGCCAATTTCACACAAATTTCAAAAGATGCCAATTTCCAAATAGTGTCCAGAATAAACAAGAAAGACATTCCTGGCACTAAAATAACATTTCCTCTGTTCATTAGTCATGACCCCAGGCCCCTCTTACATTTCTTTTGCTTTCCACTTTGATTTTTTATTCTCACAAAAAAAATAAGATTTACTGTTATGCAGACTACTGCATTAGTGTAGAAATGGTATAAATAATATCGGCGCACTTGTGAAAGAATATTAGACTCACCAGTTGACGTGTATTGGACACTTAGCATGATTTGTTTACTTTTGAACTTTGGTAAAAATCGAACATTTCTGCTACTTTGAGCTCAATTTCAAGGTACTTTTCATTGTAAAACCAGTCAAAACCATCTCAATTTCTGTAATATGTCTTCCATTCTATAAAATGAGACCAAGAAAACTAGAATACAACAATAAATACCATATGAAAATACAGTGCAAAGTCGCTGTTTTAATCCAAAAACACGGTCAAAGTTTTTTTTTCTCATTACGCACTGTGTGCTGCAGGATTTTTATTTTTATACTGCACACACTGACCACATAGACCCATTCTTTCATATGTAGGCCTACCAGCTTTCTCTTGCTAGATTTGAGGGCGCTAGAATTTATGCGTACTAGTATGTCAAAAACCCTGGTGCGTAAGCCGTACTAGTATGGCCGAAACCCCCAAAGGGTTAAAAAAAGAAATTGTCAGTTTTTTTTTTTCTCGTTATGCACTGAGTGCTGCAGGATTTTTTTTATATGGTGCACACTGACCACACAGACACATTCTCTCACATGTGGGCCTACCAGCTTTTTACTGCTTGATTTGAAGCCGCTAGAATTTATGAGTATATATACGTCAAAAACGGTGGCTCGTAAGATGTATATATACGACCAAAACAGTCAAAGGGTTAACTATGGTTCAGCTAATGATATTTCAACTTTATGATGGTGCAAAATTATTTGTTTATTTGTTATTTAGTGACAGTAGTTATTTATTTACTTATTTATTTAGCATACTATATTCATATTCGACTTAGGACATTTTCAACTTATGATGAGTTTGTTGGAACGTAGCCCCATCGTAAGTCAAGAAGCATCTGTAGTCATTATTTCTCATGAGGCACAAAACTATTGTAGCTACTGTTGATCATTTATAAAATTTTTAGACATCTTAGATTTGAACTAAGTCAATGGCTGAGCACTATTTTAACTTGAGGAGAATTGGATTGAATGTCAGTTCAAAACAAATTATTGTAGGTTACTAATATATGATAGTGTTTCATTTGCATACAATTCATGTGGAATTTTTCACTAAGAAAAGTGGAACTCTTGTGCTCACATGCAAAGGAGGAGCTGGTCATTAGGTATTACTTAAGAGTGCCATTCTCATTCCAGGTTGAGCTTGGAATTTGTGGGAAAGAGGAGCTGGTCATTAGGTGTCACATACATGAGCCATAAACATTATAAGGGTTTGAACTTTGAATGCAAAAAACTAAATTTCCTTTGCAAGACTTAAGACTACCTTGTGCATGAATATTTATAGACCTTCCTCGTGCATAAATATTGCACAAGTACACACTCCATGCTTACTATTGTCAGAACTTATCTGCTTTTTTTCTTGCCTCAGTCATCTAATTAGGAATTTTTCTATAAAAGACTTGCTGTAACTTTTGTAATTTATTTTCATGAATAAAATGAAAATGTAATGATGTTGCTGCCTTTATTACCTAAGTCTTTATTGCAAAACTTTGTTAAACATATTAATATGAAGTTTTAACCAAATTTAGTGTTAAAAAGTTTAATGATGTTCTGTGTTGTATTTTTTTACATCTGCAATACTTTTTTTGATTCCTTTTTATACTACTTTCTTTTAATGGATTTTATTATTATAAGCAAATACTAAACATACATATTTAAATTATGGCCATCATTAGCAGAAAAATTTGAAATTTAGATTTATTCTTTTTTGGGTCACCCTGCCTCGGTGGGAGACGGCTGACTTGTTAAAAAAACAAAAAAAAATTAATAGTATAGAAAAAAAAGACAAGTACCTGTAAATAAATATAAGGGCAAAATTATGTAAGAACATTACTGTGTACATTAACACAATCCTAAATCAAATGATTGATCTCTTACAGTTCCATCATCGTGATCCTGGGTTGGTTGGGTTGCTTACCAGTCGCCTTATTTGTAAGCCTGTTCACTACGGGATCATCGCTGATGGGATACACACCCATCCAGCTGCACTCAGGATTGCCCATCGCACACACCCAGAAGGTCTGAGACTCCTCTGTGGGATTTTTTCATGAATTTACATTTTCATCCGTTTCATTTTTTCACTTAAACTTTTGGGCACAATACAAGAAACAAAATTTGACCTTAATATTAGATGTGTTCTCTGTAGAATGTGTATTGTGAGAGTTAGACAGAGGGAAGCTTGTGACACTAAGTGGCAGGCAATAGACTATATTTATGAATTTAAAAAAGAAGATATGATAAGGTGTACAGGGGAGCAGTATGAGAGATTTTATAAATACAGGGAATAGGTGGTAGGTTACTAAAAGCAGTGAAGAGTTTTCATAAAGATAGGCTCAGGTTAGGCTATGTAGGAGAGAGAGGATTATTTCTCAGTTAGTACAGGACTCAGAGAAGGATGCATTATGTCACCATTGTTATTGAACATATTTATAGATGGGGTAGTAAAAAAAAAGAAAAGTGGAAACCAGGGTGTTGAGGAGAGATGTAGGATTGAAAGATGATGGATCTAATTCACAGTTGCTTTTTGCCAGTGGCACAGTTCTTTTGGGGAGGGTATGGAAAAGGTGGAAATTAAAAGTGAACATAGAAAGGACCAAAGTGATAATAGTAACAAAAAAATCTAGGCAGTGAAGACTGAATATCAGATTAGAGGGAGGAAGTGGATGTATGTAGATAACTTGGGTGGACATAGCAGATGGGTCTCTGAAAGATGAGGTGAACCATTAATAGATGAGGGGAAAACAAGGTAGGACGTGTGTTGAGGTATCTATGGAAGAAGTAAGTTTATCTATGAAGGTAGAAAAGGAAATATATCAGAGTATAGTAGTAGTAGTACCAACACTTACATGGGCATAAGGCATGGGCTTTGAATGTTGCAACGAGGAGGAGACTAGAGACAGTGGAGATGTCATGTTTGAGAGTAATGTGTGGTGTGAATATCATATGGAGAATTCAGAGTGTAGAAATTAAAAGGTGATGTGGGGTCATCAAGGTTATAATTCTGAGAGTTGAGGTGAGGTTGTTGAGGTGGTTTGGACTTGTAGAGAGGATGGAATGGGATAGGATAACAGAGTGTACATAAATCTTGGGTGGAAGGTAGGAGGGGTAGAGGTTGTCCCAGGATTAATTTCAGGGAGGAGGATAAAAGAGACCAAGTTTTAGGGGCTTGAGCATCCAGCAAGCTTGTGTGAGCACGTTAGATAGGAGTGAATAGAGACAAGTGGTGTTTTAATAAACTTGCTGTTGGGGTGTATACCTCGAGAGGACTTTGGGGGGGTCAGCGTCCCCACAGCCCGGTCTGTGACCAGGTCTTGCGGTGGATCAGGGCTTGCTCAGCCAGGCTGTCACTGCTGGGTGTGAGTAAAGTAACAATGATGAATGGATTCAGGTAAAACTAGTTAGCTGGATTTGGAGTTCTGGAAGTAAGGGCAGTGCCTTCACTCTGAAGGAGGAGGAATGGGCATATTGCAGTCAGGGTAATCAGACTGTGATGTCATCACTGTCTGGCAAGACAGTAATTGAATGAATACTGGTGAATGTATTCCTTTGGGTCACCCTGCCCTTGGTGGGAGATGGCTGTTGAGGTAAAAAAAAAAAAATATTCAAATACATGCAGTGGAACCCAGGATTTTGTCCGGTGTGGATATCGTACAATTCGGATTTTGACCACTTTTTTGGGCGAAATTTTACCCTGGGTTTCGTACCTCCGCTCAGAAATCATTCTTATCAGATGCGTCTGCCTGCCCGGGACGCAGCCGCTCACATGTACATGATTCAGTCTGCCTCTGTCACTTGTTCAGTGAGCAGTACTCTGCACGTTCATCCCAAACATTTCGTAATAGTCCATTGTTTTTTGCGCTTGTTTATTGAGTGCATCTGTGAAATAAGCCACCATGGGGCTTTGTGTCTTGGGGGAAGTCCATGGGGTTGGATGTGAGTGACCAGATTGTGGAAGAGTTGGTGGAGCTAACCACTGAAAAGCTGCAAGACCTTCATCTGGAACTGCAACAGATTGCAGCTGAGGAAATTGCTTTAGAGGAGGAGGAAGAGAGAGAGGTAGGGGAGAATGCGCCTTTTTCAGTGATTAAGGACAATTGTGCAAAGTGGAGTGAGGTGCAAAGTTTTCTGGAGAATTATCCACTCTAACAAAACTGTTGCAAGCCTTGTCTGCAACATGTTCAATGACAATGCCTTTTCTCATTTTAGGCAAATCTTAGAGACGCCAGAAACAGAGCTGTCTGGACACATTTTTTGTGCAACAGGGGTCCAGTGACTCTCAAGCCAGTAAAAGACAAAGAAGGGAAGTAACCCCGGATAGGGCTTTGATACCTGAAGTCCTTAATGGAGGGGGATTTCCCTTCCAAACAATAACCTCTCCTCCCTCTCCCCTCCTCGCCTTCTTTCACACATCAACAAATGGTGTGTATGTAATAGTAATTTAAATGTTCATTTATCCATTAAAATTAGTCATTTATATTTATTTCTCATTGTTTTCTGTATGTAAAACTATAGTTATTCTCTATAAAATGTATTTTTTTTTTAATATTTTTGGGTATCTGGAACAGATTAATTGGATTTACATTATTTCTCATGGGAAATATTACTTTGGTTTTCGTCCATTTTGGATTTTGACCGACCTTCTGGAACGGATTAAGGATGAAAACCGCAGTTCCACTGTACATATTTATTTAGATAATATTCTGTTTTAATAAAATATAAAAGAAAAAAATTTTTGTGTGAAATACCATAGTAGGCACAGCTTCAGGGAGACTTAAACTAAGATGAAACTACATTACTTAATACTAAGAAATACTGTACGTGGGCTTAGAGCTTACTAGTTAAGTAAGAAGTACTGACAGGCGAGTTAAAATAAAAAATGAAAAAAATGGTGAATAATATTCTTTAATTATGTGAGAGTCAAAAATCAGTAATTGAATGAGTAGGAAAATATTCATGATACAACAGAATAATAGGCAGTAGTAACAATATTGATATAATAAAGGTTGAAGATAGTCAGCAAATCAAAATTAAGGATCAGGATTAAAAAAAGACATGGATACACGTTATATATAATAAGATTTGAATTAATTTAATATCAAAATTATTTAAATAATTTTATTCCATATCTCTGACTTTTATAGTAGTAGGTTGATAGACAGCAACCACCCAGGGAAGTACTACCGTCCTGCCAGATGACTGTGAAACAGAAACCTGTAACTGTTTTGCATGATGGTAGGATTGCTGGTTTCTTTTTCTGTCTCATAAATACGCTAGATAACAGGGATATCTTGCTACTCCTACTTACACTTTGGTCACACTGCACAGACACACATGCATATATATATACATACATCTAGGTTTTTCTTCTTTTTCTAAATAGCTCTTGTTCTTCTTTATTTCTTCTATTGTCCATGGGGAAGTGGAAAAGAATCTTTCCTCCGTAATCCATGCGTGTCGTATGAGGCGACTAAAATGCTGGGAGCAATGGGCTAGTAACCCCTTCTCCTGTAGACATTTACTAAAAAAGAGAAGAAGAAAAACTTTATAAAACTGGGATGCTTGAATGTGCGTGGATGTAGTGCGGATGACAAGAAACAGATGATTGCTGATGTTATGAATGAAAAGAAGTTGGATGTCCTGGCCCTAAGCGAAACAAAGCTGAAGGGGGTAGGGGAGTTTCGGTGGGGGGAAATAAATGGGATTAAATCTGGAGTATCTGAGAGAGTTAGAGCAAAGGAAGGGGTAGCAGTAATGTTGAAGGATCAGTTATGGAAGGAGAAAAGAAAATATGAATGTGTAAATTCAAGAATTATGTGGATTAAAGTAAAGGTTGCATGCAAAAAATGGGTCATAATAAGCGTGTATGCACCTGGAGAAGAGAGGAATGCAGAGGAGAGAGAGAGATTTTGGGAGATGTTAAGTGAATGTATAGGAGCCTTTGAACCAAGTGAGAGAATAATTGTGGTAGGGGACCTGAATGCTAAAGTAGGAGAAACTTTTAGAGAGGGTGTGGTAGGTAAGTTTGGGGTGCCAGGTGTAAATAATAATGGGAGCCCTTTGATTGAACTTTGTATAGAAAGGGGTTTAGTTATAGGTAATACATATTTTAAGAAAAAGAGGATAAATAAGTATACAAGATATGATGTAGGGTGAAATGACAGTAGTTTGTTGGATTATGTATCGGTAGATAAAAGACTGTTGAGTAGACTTCAGAATGTACATGTTTATAGAGGGGCCACAGATATATCAGATCACTTTCTAGTTGTAGCTACACTGAGAGTAAAAGGTAGATGGGATACAAGGAGAATAGAAGCATCAGGGAAGAGAGAGGTGAAGGTTTATAAACTAAAAGAGGAGGCAGTTAGGGTAAGATATAAACAGCTATTGGAGGATAGATGGGCTAATGAGAGCATAGGCAATGGGGTCGAAGAGGTATGGGGTAGGTTTAAAAATGTAGTGTTAGTGTTCAGCAGAAGTTTGTGGTTACAGGAAAGTGGGTGCGGGAGGGAAGAGGAGCGATTGGTGGAATGATGATGTAAAGAGAGTAGTAAGGGAGAAAAAGTTAGCATATGAGAAGTTTTTACAAAGTAGAAGTGATGCAAGGAGGGAAGAGTATATGGAGAAAAAGAGAGAGGTTAAGAGAGTGGTGAAGCAATGTAAAAAGAGAGCAAATGAGAGAGTGGGTGAGATGTTATCAATAAATTTTGTTGAAAATAAGAAAAAGTTTTGGAGTGAGATTAACAAGTTAAGAAAGCCTAGAGAACAAATGGATTTGTCAGTTAAAAATAGGAGAGGAGAGTTATTAAATGGAGAGTTAAAGGTATTGGGAAGATGGAGGGAATATTTTGAGGAATTGTTAAATGTTGATGAAGATAGGGAAGCTGTGATTTCGTGTATAGGGCAAGGAGGAATAACATCTTGTAGGAGTGAGGAAGAGCCAGTTGTGAGTGTGGGGGAAGTTCGTGAGGCAGTAGGTAAAATGAAAGGGGGTAAGGCAGCTGGGATTGATGGGATAAGATAGAAATGTTTAAAAGCAGGTGGGGATATAGTTTTGGAGTGGTTGGTGCAATTATTTAATAAATGCATGGAAGAGGGTAAGGTACCTAGGGATTGGCAGAGAGCATGCATAGTTCCTTTGTATAAAGGCAAAGGGGACAAAAGAGAGTGCAAAAATTATAGGGGGATAAGTCTGTTGAGTATACCTGGTAAAGTGTATGGTAGAGTTATTATTGAAAGAATTAAGAGTAAGATGGAGAATAGGATAGCAGATGAACAAGGAGGTTTTAGGAAAGGTAGGGGGTGTGTGGACCAGGTGTTTACAGTGAAACATATAAGTGAACAGTATTTAGATAAGGCTAAAGAGGTCTTTGTGGCATTTATGGATTTGGAAAAGGTGTATGACAGGGTGGATAGGGGGGCAATGTGGCAGATGTTGCAGGTGTATGGTGTAGGAGGTAGGTTACTGAAAGCAGTGAAGAGTTTTTACGAGGATAGTGAGGCTCAAGTTAGAGTATGTAGGAAAGAGGGAAATTATTTCCCAGTAAAAGTAGGCCTTAGACAAGGATGTGTGATGTCACCGTGGTTGTTTAATATATTTATAGATGGGGTTGTAAGAGAAGTAAATGCGAGGGGTCTTGGCAAGAGGCGTGGAGTTAAAAGATAAAGAATCACACATAAAGTGGGAGTTGTCACAGTTGCTCTTTGCTGATGACACTGTGCTCTTGGGAGATTCTGAAGAGAAGTTGCAGAGATTGGTGGATGAATTTGGTAGGGTGTGCAAAAGAAGAAAATTAAAAGTGAATACAGGAAAGAGTAAGGTTATGAGGATAACAAAAAGATTAGTTGATGAAAGATTGGATATCAGATTGGAGGGAGAGAGTATGGAGGAGGTGAATGTATTCAGATATTTGGGAGTGGACGTGTCAGCGGATGGGTCTATGAAAGATGAGGTGAATCATAGAATTGATGAGGGGAAAAGGGTGAGTGGTGCACTTAGGAGTCTGTGGAGACAAAGAACTTTGTCCTTGGAGGCAAAGAGGGGAATGTATGAGAGTATAGTTTTACCAACGCTCTTATATGGGTGTGAAGCATGGATGATGAATGTTGCAGCGAGGAGAAGGCTGGAGGCAGTGGAGATGTCATGTCTGAGGGCAATGTGTGGTGTGAATATAATGCAGAGAATTCGTAGTTTGGAAGTTAGGAGGAGGTGCGGGATTACCAAAACTGTTGTCCAGAGGGTTGAGGAAGGGTTGTTGAGGTGGTTCGGACATGTAGAGAGAATGGAGCGAAACAGAGTGACTTCAAGAGTGTATCAGTCTGTAGTGGAAGGAAGGCGGGGTAGGGGTCGGCCTAGGAAAGGTTGGAGGGAGGGGGTAAAGGAGGTTTTGTGTGTGAGGGGCTTGGACTTCCAGCAGGCATGCGTGAGCGTGTTTGATAGGAGTGAATGGAGACAAATGGTTTTTAATACTTGACGTGCTGTTGGAGTGTGAGCAAAGTAACATTTATGAAGGGATTCAGGGAAACCGGCAGGCCGGACTTGAGTCCTGGAGATGGGAAGTACAGTGCCTGCACTCTAAAGGAGGGGTGTTAATGTTGCAGTTTAAAAACTGTAGTGTAAAGCACCCTTCTGGCAAGACAGTGATGGAGTGAATGATGGTGAAAGTTTTTCTTTTTTGGGCCACCCTGCCGTGGTGGGAATTGGCCAGTGTGATAATAAAAATAAATAATAAATCTCTGACTTTTTAATTTACATTGAGTTTCTTTAGAGGCTCAAAAGAACACTAGGAATATTAAAATGGTGTGAGCTTCAAGCTTTGTGCCTATTGCAGTTTTCTAGGATGTCTTGGATCAGTATCATCATTACAGTGCAGTGTTCCAGAGATGTGGTGCACAGTAGTATAAATGGCATTAATATTTGGAAGGTTTTGGGGCAAAACCTTTAATTAGAATTTGTGATGGTTTTGATAGCTGCTTTTTGCTGAGTGATGATTGCTTAGAGGTGAGTTGCCCAAGTGGATCCCCAGACACAACTCACATATGTAAGGCATCAGTAAATAAGGGAAAAAGAATAGTGTTAGTAGCATAGATTGGGGAATATCATAGCAAAATTTAAGACTATCCCAATAATATTTGATACCTTTTTGTGTGTGTGTTGGCTGTGAGCATTAAATATAAATTTGATGTCCATTATTAGACATAAGAATTTCTTAATTTTTTTTTTTTCCTACTTTGGTTTCACAAATTCTGAAATCTAAATGGGGACATTCAGATTTTAGATATGGTTTGTTTCCAAAAGTTATACAGAATGTTTTTTTTTTTTTTTTTTTTTTTCAAATATTAGGGATGAGTTTATTTGTAAATATCCAGGTCATTTTGTTTGTAGTTCATTAGCTATGTTGCTTAATATCAAGAGGTCTGAGCCTCATATGATAACAATTACATGTACTTTGTAATACTCTACAAGGAAATAATAAAAAATAGCATAATAACGTATTAAAATAACATTACAGTGTATTTGAAAACAGTAGCAACGTCAGTAATGATAAAACAGAACTCTTCCTCCATAAGCCATGAATGCCGTAAGAGACAACTAAGATGCTGAGAGCAAGGGGCTACTAAGAAGAAAAACTTTAGCGTTTCTTTTTACATCACACCTCCTTGATGGGATATGGACGGTGTGTTTAAAAAAAAAAATTAGTTACATTTACAGAAATATAACCATTTCTTTGTTTTTGCTAGACAGGTTTAGTACTAGTAACAGATGCAATGGCAGCAATGGGCCTCGGTGATGGGGAGCATCAAATTGGACAGCTGAAGGTCAAAGTGGAGAAACTGACAGCACGCCTTGTGGGATCTAATACTCTTGCTGGCTCCGTAGTTACTATGGATCAGTGTATTAGACATTTTGTAAAGAATGTAGGTGAGTCGTCAGTTTTAATAGTTAAGACTTTTTTTATGGTAGGAATACAGTCATAACTAACACACAAATTGAAAATAAAACTGGACAATGTTCAGTTTATCCTGGACCATTGTGTTGATTTAATAATTATCATCGATTTGTGGGTTAGATGTAAATTGTCTGGTATTGTGACATTTGTTCTAATATCAGTTTTTGTGTTATAAGGTAAGATTTTCTTTTATTATTACTATTATTATATAATCATAACTAAGCACTGAACCCAGGATTTTCTTTTAACCCTTTGACTGTCGAAAGGCCCAATCCTGAAGTGTCTCCTGGTGCTGCAAAATATTCGAAAAAAAAAAAATATTTTTTCTTATGAAAATGTTAAGAATATTTTTCTGATTGTTTGTCCCCCCAAAAATTTTTCCCATCAGTACTTACCGAGATATAGAGGCGTGAAGTTTGCCGAAAATGATCTGTGAACGGCAACAGCGGCGACTGCCGCTCACCCGGTAAACTTTGATTTACTTGTATTCGATGGTTTCTTTTTTTTCACTATTTTATTTTTTCACATAACTTTTGTGGACTGTGAGACCAAATTATTGTGCAATGTTCAAATATACACTCGTTGAATGTAACACAATTATAGCAAAAACACTCGCATCATTATAATGTTGCTAAAACTTGTTTACACAAACAATATAAAAAATTGTTTATTACGATTGTTCTATAATATATATATGTACAATCACTGGACACTTTTCTAGAACTGCTGCCGCTTGTGGAATTCTTTGAAACATGGGTATAAGCACAATGGTATTTTACACTCCTCACACATAAAACGAGTGTCTCTGCGTTTTTGTGGGCGTTTTGTGGTATGTCCACAGACAAAACACCTCTTCTGAGCATTTTTCTTGAGAGCAGTAGCAGGCAGTGGTATGGGGTAGTGATCACCAGCCCTCAGACGAGAGGACATGTGTTGATAATTTCGTGGGCGCTGGTCTATTGCAGGTGTTGTTCCTTGGTACTTGAATATTATTTGTCTGATGACTGACAAACAAAATTCACCATATTTGGGTTTGTTCTTGGTCTTCAACTTATACATATTATAAGCATTCAGCATGGAAATGTCAAGAAGATGGAAAAACAGTTTTATGTACCACTTTTAACTCTTGCGAACACAGTCAGCAAACCCAATCTGCATGTCACATTTGTCCACTAAGTGCATATTGAGGTTGTAATCCATCACAGCTGCAGGTTTTACAATGGGTTCATTGGTCTCTCTATTCTGCTTGCCAGTGTCTACCATTTCGTGTCGGTGAACTGATGTCAGCAGTGTGACATCACGTTTGTCATGCCACCGAAATGCCATGATGTCATTGGCAGCAAACACCTGCATTTCACCTCTACGACTGCCAGCATCGAACCTAGGCATATGTTTACGATTTCCACGCACTGTGCCACACACATCTGTCATGTTCACTCGCAAGAAATCACTGAGTATAGGGCTTGTGTACCAGTTGTCAGTACAGTGGACCCTCAACCAGCGATGGCATCGATTAACGATAAATCTGACTAGCGATACATTTTAACGCAAAAATTTTGCCTCGACTAGCGCTTAAAAACCCGACCAGCGCTATTCGTTCCGTACGAGACACGTCCACTTTGGCCTGAGCGTGCCTCACTTGTCCCATGGGTGCCAGTGTTTACAAGCCAGCCACCGCAGTCGCTTCCAAACATACACCTGGAACATTTCATATTATCACAGCCTTTGTAGTGATTGCACCTGCAAAATAAGTCACCATGGGCCCCAAGAAAGCTTCTAGTGCCAACCTTACAGCAAAAAGGGTGAGAATTACTATGGAGATGAAGAAAGAGATCATTGCTAAGTATGAAAGTGGAGTGCGTGTCTCTGAGCTGGTCAGGTTGTATAATAAACCCCAATCAACCATCGCTACTACTGTGGGCAAGAAAACAGCAATCAAGGAAGCTGTTCTTGCCAAAGGTGCAACTATGTTTTCGAAACTGAGATTGCAAGCGGTAGAAGATGTTGAGAGACTTATTGGTGTGGATAAATGAGAAACAGATAGCAGGAGATAGCATCTCTCAAGCGATCATATGTGAAAAGGCTAGGAAGTTGCATGACGATTTAATTAAAAAAATGCCAGCAACTAGTGATGTGAGTGAATTTAAGGCCAGCAAAAGTTGGTTTGAGAGATTTAAGAAGCGTAGTGGCATTCATAGTGTGATAAGGCATGGTGAGGCTGCCAGTTTGGACCACAAAGCGGCTGAAAAATATGTGCAGGAATTCAAGGAGTACATAGACAGTGAAGGACTGAAACCTGAACAAGTGTTTAATTGTGACAAAACAGGCCTGTTTTGGAAGAAAATGCCAAGCAGGACGTACATTACTCAGGAGGAAAAGGCACTCCCAGGACATAAGCCTATGAAAGACGGGCTTACTCTGTTGATGTGTGCCAATGCTAGTGGTGATTGCAAAGTGAAGCCTTTATTGGTGTATCACTCTGAAACTCCCAGAGTGTTCAGGAAAAACAATGTCGTCAAGGCTAATTTGTGTGTGCTGTGGAGGGCAAACAGTAAGGCATGGTTCACTAGGGACTTTTTCTATGACTGGTTACACCATGCATTTGCCCCCAATGTGAAAAATTACCTAACTGAAAAGAAATTAGACCTTAAGTGCCTCCTGGTATTAGACAATGCTCCTGGTCATCCTTCAGACTTGGCAGAGCGACTTTCTAGGGACATGAGCTTCATTAAGGTGAAGTTTTTGCCTCCTAATAACACTCCTCTCCTGCAGCCCATGGACCAGCAGGTCATTTCCAACTTCAAGAAACTGTACACAAAAGCTACGTTTGAAAGGTGCTTTGTAGTGACCTCAGAAACTCAACTGACTCTAAGAGAGTTTTGGAAAGATCATTTTACCATCCTCAATTGTGTAAACATTATAGGTAAGGCTTGGGAGGAAGTGACTAAGAGGACCTTGAACTCTGCTTGGAAAAAACTGTGGCCAGAATGTGTAGACAAAAGGGATTTTGAAGGATTTGAGGCTAACCCTGAGAATCCTATGCCAGTTGAGGAATCCATTGTGGCATTGGGGAAGTCCTTGGGGTTGGAGGTTAGTGAGGAGGATGTGGAAGAGCTGGTGGAGGAGGACAATGAAGAACTAACCACTGATGAGCTGCTAGATCATCTTGAACAGCAAGAGGGCAGACCTGAGGAAACTGCTTCGGAGGAGGGGATAGAGAAATTGAAGAAGTTGCCTACTTCTAAGATTAAGGAAATGTGTGCAAAGTGGCTTGAAGTGCAAACATGTTTTGATGAAAATCACCCTGACACAGCTACTGCAAGCCGTGTTGGCAACCTGTACACTGACAATGTTGTGAACCACTTTAGGAAAGTCATAAAGGAACGAGAGGTACAGGTATCTATGGACAGATATGTTGTGCGACAGAAGTCCAGTGACTCTGAAGCTGGTCCTAGTGGCATTAAAAGAACAAGGGAAGTAACCCCAGAAAAAGACTTGCTACCTCAAGTGCTAATGGAAGGGGATTCCCCTTCTAAACACTAAGAAGATCAATGGTCTCCCCTCCCATCCATCAATCATCACCAGATCTGCAATAAAGGTAAGTGTCATGTAACTGTGCATGTCTTCTTCAGTTTGTGTGTATTAAAATTAATATTTCATGTGGTAAATTTTTTTTTTTTCAATACTTTGGGGTGTCTTGCACGGATTAATTTGATTTCCATTATTTCTTATGGGGAAAATTAACTTGACTAACGATTATTTTGATTAACGATGAGCTCTCAGGAATGGATTAATATCGCTGGTTGAGGGTCCACTGTATATAAAATATGCCCCTTACCAAGATATGGCTCCATCATTGTTCTGACCACATCACCAGAGATACCCAGTAACTTTCTGGTATCTTCCAATGTTTTACCGCCAGTGTACACAATTATATCCAAAACCAGACCAGTTTTGCAATCACACAGAACAAATAACTTTATACCAAAGCGTTTCCTCTTGCTTGGTATATACTGTTTGAATGAGAGTCTTCCTTTGAACAAAATCAAAGACTCGTCAATAACAAGCTTCATGAAGGGATAAAAATGCATACAGCACTTTTGTTTCAGGTACATAAACACACGTCTGATCTTATATAACCTATCGCTTCTGTCAGGCCTTGTTTTGTCTGAAAAGTGTAACATATGTAACAGTAACACAAATCTATTCACTGGAATAATGTCACTGAAAGCAGGGGTTGAAATCAGGCGGTCTGTCGTCCAGTATGTGTTGACACTATGCTTATACACATGTGGCATAAGCATTATTGTGGCAAAGAACAGATACATCTCTGCCACAGTTGTCCCCTTCCACTGGTGTAGGCATGATCTTGGTGAAAGAATAGTGTTTGCCATGGTGTACTCAAAGTATGTATTGCTTTCCCTGACAATAATGTCCATCAGGGGTTCATCGAAGAACAACTGAAAGCATTCCAGTTCAGTGGCATTGTTCCCAAGTGTACATGATGGCCGTATTCCACTTTGTCCTCCCTCAAAGTCATGGGGACTGGGAACAAACTCGTCACCTTGCTGCCAATCCCAGATGCGGTCAGCTGGTGGGTTCTAGATATTGTTATGTGGTTGTGGTTGTGCAGGTTGTGGTTGTGGTTGTTGTGGGAGTGTGGGGGTCAGGTGAGGCTGGTTGTAGTTATGCAGAGTCAGCAGCGTGGGTAGTAGCGTGGCCCGCTGCTGGTGTCACATGACTCGTGCCACCATCACTATCACCACCACTGCCTGCTGCCTCACTTGCATCATTGATACCCATTGTAACAATATCGTCGTCTTCACTATCAGGTCTTGGTGTAGGGCTACGGGATGTGCTCCGAGATGTACTCCTTTCTCTTGGAAGAGCATATGGCACACTACCAGACCCCATGCGACGTCGTATATACTGCCGCTTCACTGGGGAATATTCACCCTCACTGTCACAACTAGAACTGCTTTCAATAACCTTGAAATCACTGTCACTATCACTTACACTGCTCACATCCGAGTCTTGTGCACGGGCAAATAGTTTCCTCTTTCGTCCTGGTACAGGTGAACATGAATGAGCCGGCCCAGCACCAGAGGTGGAAGGTTGTGGGTCATCTGGGTTTTCATCACTAATTACGTTATCCTGGGCACTTTTTTCGGTCACACCCACTTCAAAACCAGGGAATTCACTTCCGCTGACACTTTCATCGCTGTTTGAGCTATCACTTGGGAACAAAAGACCTCCAATCCGCTGAGGAGTGAGGAACTTCTTACCGCGAGGCATGGTGAAAATGGACTACCAAGATGCCGTTCCCACAATGCACTGCTGAGTCCCAGTTTTTTTTCACAGGATGCACACCCACCACTGAGACCCATTCTCTCTCATGTAGGCCTACCAGCCCTCTCATGCTTGATTTGAAGCCGCTAGAATTTATGCATATAGATACGTCAAACACGGTATCTCCCATGACGTATATATACGACCGCGACAGTCAAGGGGTTAATGGGATATTTTTTTTTTTTGTAAATAAAATTTTTAACCCAAGCTTCCTATTTTTTCTTTATATAACAACAGAGGAGGGCCCTGCATATACAGCACTTTATTTTCAGTGTTTCACATTTTTGTTGGCTTTCAATTGAGCCATTGTTCATTATGTTCCATGCTTTTACTGCTTTTCCACTGTTTTCATACAAGTTGCATGAGGGAAGGGCGACTGGTGCTATACTTTAGGGTAAATATTGTATGTACTCTATATTCATTTTACTTTATCTTTTTTTTTTTATGCTAGCTGTATTGAACACTTAATATATGAGAGTGTAAACACATCAGGCATTTTAGATGTATTCAATAAAAAAAAAGCTCTTTTTCACCTGCTGGCAATTTTTGCTTACCATACAGGATTGGGAGCCTAAGAGCCGTACAGACAGGGTCTTCCTGTACATTATTTGAGGCTAAGGATATTGTATACAGTATTAATGTAGATTAACACTTTTTCATCTTATTTTTAATGTTTAACACAGTTTACTTCAACTGTACTTTTAAGCCTTAATTGTTGGAATTATGATTAAGGACATTTGCAAGAGTTACTCATAAAGATCAAAACAGGTTTAGCATTTTTCATAGGGTTAATTGTTAGCATATTTGAGGGCACTATGATTTACATGTAGATCTACATAAGCACCACTGGACCCATTTATATAGATCTTCATGAGTGACAATCAAAGGGTTAAGAAATTTCAGTTGTATAATTGAATATTATTATTTTTCAGGGGCAACTCTAGTCGAAGGTATTGAAGCAGCATCCCTTCACCCAGCTAGGGTTATGGGCATCGAGCATCTCAAGGGCACCCTGGACTTCGGCAGTGATGCAGATTTTCTCTTGGTGTCTGATGAGGGACCTCTAAAGGTGTTACACACTTTCATTGCTGGAGAGTGTGTCTACAGTGCACCAGATGCCCCACAGCTTACATCTACTTATCACAAACATTTCTCAGAGAAATAATGACTTTGTAAATGGTCAAGTCGGACTGAAACAGTATCGTAAGCGTCTCTCTCCTATGTGTGTGGTTTATTTGTGTATTGTTCCAGTCATGGTATTGTGCCTTTTTGTTCTTTCTTAATAGCTTGTTTCTCAGAGTTGAAAGATGTAGATGGATATTGCTTTTATGGTATATCCATTATGGTTAGAGGTAAAGGTAAGGTAGTATTTGTTTTATGTAATTAAACTATATAATAATGTAATTAAACTAATATAATAATTTAATTACATTGTAATAGTAAATTGTTAAAATAACCGGCAAGAAGATTATTAATATATTATTGCCATACTGCCTAAAAGCAAAATATAATTACTGTATTGTGATAGGTATGTACAGTATTTGCAAATAGACCAATTAGCTGCTGAAATGCATGGTGCTTATTGTAGTAACATATTTATATATGTATATAAATATATACACCTACCATCCGACTTACGACCGAGCTTGGTTCCGACCAACTGGTCGCAAATCGTCAAAATGGACGTAAGGCGAACCTTACTACTGAATATCAACATCACATTTTTGTAATGACTTGATTTTATTGTTTTATTCTGGTAATTCATTTTTTACATTACTGTTTATGCTGTTAGTACTGTGTTTTATACTGTAAGGCTTAGGATAAACACTGTGTACATCACAAACAGTTGTTTACTTCCCAGAAATTTGGCATACAAAACACGGTCGTAAGTCGAGTGGTTGTATGTTGAGCAGGTCGTAAGTCGGATGGTAGGTGTACATTCTACAGAAAGTTGCAAAGGTTAGTGGACAAGTTTGGGAGGGTGTGTAAAGGTAGAAAGTTGAAAGTGAACATAGATAAGAGTAAGGTGATGAGGGTATCAAATGATTTAGATAAAGAAAAACTGTACATCACATTAGAGAGAGGGAGTATGGAAGAAGTGAATGTTTTCAGATATTTTGGAGTTGACTTGTCAGCAGATAGGTTGATGAATTAAAAAAGGTGAGTGGTGAGTTGAGGTATCTGTGGAGACAAAAACGTTATCTATGGAGGCAAAGAATGGAATGTATGAAAGTATAGTGGTACCAACACTGTTATATGGTGTGAAGCTTGGGTTGTAAATGCTGCAGCAAGGAGGCGGCTAGAGGCAGTGGAGATGTCTTCTAAGGGCAATGTGTGGTGTAAATATTATGTAGAGAATTTGGAGTGTGGAAATAGCAGGTGGTGTGGAGTTACTAAAAGTATTAGTCAGAGGGCTGAAGAGGGGTTATTGAGGTGGTTTGGTCATTGAGAGAGAATGAAACAAAGTAGAATGACTTGGAGATCATATAAATCTGTAGGGGAAGGAAAGCAGGGCAGAGGTCATTCTCAAAAAGGTTGGAAGGAAGGGGTAAGGGAGGTTTTGTGGGTGAGGGGCTTGGACTCCAGCAGGTGTGCATGAGCGTGTTCATTAGGAGTGAATGGAGACGAATGGTATCTGAGACCTGACGATCTGTTGCAGTGTGAGCAGGGTAATATTTAGTGAAGGGATTCAGGGAAACCGGTTATTTTCTTATAGTCGGACTTGAGTCCTGGAAATGGGAAGTACAATGCCTGCACTTTAAAGGAGGGGTTTGGGATATTGGCAGTTTGGAGGGATATGTTGTGTATCTTTATACGTATATGCTTCTAAACTGTTGTATTCTGAGCACCTCTGCAAAAGCAGTGATAATGTGTGAGTGTGGTAAAAGTGTTGAATGATGATGAAAGTATTTTCTTTTTGGGGATTTTCTTTCTTTTTTGGGTCACCCTGCCTCGGTGGGAGACGACCAACTTGTTGAAAAAAAAAAAAAAAAAATTCAGGGAAACCGGTTGTTTTTATATAGCCGGACTTTAGTCTTGGAAATGGGAAGTACAATGCCTGCACTCTAAAGGAGGGGTTCGGGATATTGGCAGTTTGGAGGGATATGTTGTGTATCTTTATACGTATATGCTTCTAAACTGTTGTATACTGAGCACCTCTGCAGAAGCAGTGATAATGTGTGAGTGTGGTGAAAGTGTTGAATGATGATGAAAGTATTTTCTTTTTGGGGATTTTCTTTCTTTTTTGGGTCACCCTGCCTCGGTGGGAGACGGCCGACTTGTTGAAAAAAAAAAAAAAAAAAAAGAAGGTACCATCCGACTTACGACCAAGTTCGGTTCCGAGAAACCGGTCGTAAGTCGAAATGGACGCAAGTTGAACCTTACTAATGAATATGAACATCACATTTTTGTAATGACTTTATTTTATTGTTTCATTTTGGTATTTAATTTTTTACTTTACTTTTTATGCTGTTAGTGCTGTATTTTATACTGTAAGGTTTAGGATAAACACTGTATACAACACAAACAGTTGGTTATTTCCCAGAAATTTGGCATAGAAAACAAGGTCGTAAGTTGAAGGGTCGTATGTCGAGCAGGTCGTAAGTCGGATGGTAGGTGTATATGTATACATGTAATTTTTTTTTTCAACACATCGGTCGTCTCTCACCGAGGCAGGGTGACCCAAAAAGAAAGAAAATCCCCAAAAGGAAAAATACTTTAATCATCATTCAACACTTTCACCTCACTCATACATAATCACTGTCTTTGCAGAGGTGCTCAGATACGACAGTTTAGAAGTCCCTCCAAACTACCAATATCCCAAACCTCTCCTTTAAAGTATCAAGCTCATTGATTTAAAAATAATTTGAGTTATTCTTACCATAATAACTTTAATTCATTATAAATGTTCATAAATACTGTTTTTATGAATCGGAATATTTATCTAGAAAAATATAATAATATACCAAATAACATAAGCATTGCTTATAGCTTTTATAGAAAAATTTAATATAAAATAGAAAGACTGTATCTCTACAATTTTTTAAAATTTTGAGATAGTGCTAATATATTGGTGTGATCTTGTTCTTGAATGTGTCTTCACTTTGCGTCGATGCTACTGTTACGAACTGTATAGTATTAACTTCATTGATAATTACTCTTAGTATTTTTTGTAAGATCTGTGATTAATATATGTATAGGGTAGGTAGTCTAATAGTAATTTACTTTGAAATTTCAACTTAAATTTATTGTAAAGCTGGCTCTGTTTTATAATAGAACAGGATTCTAATGTGATTACTGATTTGTAGCTACAGGAAGAGAACAACAGCTAGCTGCGAAGCACCTACAGTAAGAGAGCTTGGCTCGTGGTGTCCCATCTTTGTGTGATTTATCATAAATGTTTTGTAGTATCTAGTGGTTGTTGCAGTTATTTCATCCTCTTATATTATTCCTTTGTCCTACCACTCTGTGAAGGAAATGTTTCTAGTATCTTAACAACAAATCTTTAATTTATAGTTATGGCCTCTTGCTCTGCTTGTTTATGGGGTTAGATAATTTTTATTCTGTTCTTTCTTATTGTTTTATAATTGTAAATGTGGTTATCATACCTCCTTTTTTTTCTCAGTTAATGATTATATATCTAATGCTTTCAACCTTTCTTCTTAATATTTTAGCTCTGGGAGCCATTTTATAGCTTTGGACTTTTTCTATTTTCTTAACAATCATAAAGCACTAAACCCACTAGGATCATACAGTACTGCTGGACTTTTCTAGCTTCTGATAATGCATTTTCTGCTCTACATCTGCAATGTACAGCACTGTAGTGCTAATAGCTTAACACCAGTTTGCTACATCAATTGTGACCCTACCCGGTCTTTTCTGTAGATGTTTTCTTCTCGTTACCTGCACCTCTCTGTCTTACACCTTTCTCACTCTTGTCATGTAGCATGCAATGACTTGCACGTTTAGTGCTTTTCAAGATAATTACATTATGTCCGTTACAATTCAGGACTCTTGCTTGGTGTATTCGCATGCCTTCACATGTTTCAGAATGCAGCAGAGACTGGGTGATAATGGAGAGGAATAAGTTGTGTACAAGTTTAGAGTACTCTAGTTTAATTAGTGGTAATTGAATTTTGACATGAAGTACTGTATTAGCAGGTATTGTAAGTTTTATTTGCAGAATATAGTTCATATGTAGCATTCTTACCAGTAATATGACGTAAAGAACAGTTGAATTTTTACAGTATGTAAAATTGTTATTCTTCATATATTAAGGATACTGTATGACCAAATTTGTGCTAGAAGATTGTACAGTACAGTACATTCATTATTTTTTATTTGTATCAATATACTGTACAGTTTGCCTACAGCATAAATCATATTTGACACTGAAATGAATCTCGTATAAAACTTATTGAAAATATGAATTCTTCAGACCTGTTGTAAAAATGAGAGATTGCAGATAGTTATACAGTGGACCCCCGCTTAACGATCACCTCCCAATGTGACCAATTATGTAAGTGTATTTATGTAAGTGCGTTTGTACGTGTATGTTTGGGGGTCTGAAATGGACTAATCTACTTCACAATATTCCTTATGGGAACAAATTCGGTCAGTACTGGCACCTGAACATACTTCTGGAATGAAAAAATATCGTTAACCGGGGGTCCACTGTATAGATCTTTCAGTTTTATAGTGCCAAAATCAAGATATCTTAAACTAAACACTGAAAAGTTGGATTTGTTTGTTGTGAAATAAATAAAGAAATATTGTACTGTATAATGTTTTTTTGCATATTAACGAGATATTCTTGAAAACCTGTTAGCACAATGTGTGTTAACCTTAATATACAACTAAAAGAGGTAAGCATAGCAAACTTTCTCACAGCACTGATGAAATTTATTTGAGATTATTTGTTTATTCCCAGTAGTGGTACTGGAGCAGTGAAGCGTGTTATGTAGTGGATAATGTCAGCCTCTCAACTTCCAGTGTTAATGGTGATACCCACAGTAAGTAAACTTAATCTAGCACACTTGAGACAGGTTGTGAATTATTTTTTTATACAAATACTGTGTACTAGTTTCTCAAAGGGTATGACAGAAGTGTTGGGATTGAGTACCGGATGTTGCAGTCAAGAGGGCCATCTGAATTGTAATCTCAGCACACTTATGACAAAATAGCAACTGTATGAATGTTTCCTTTGCATCACCTTGGTTACCTTATCTTGGTGAAAGATGACTGTCAAGGTTAAAATAAGTAATATCCAGATGCTCTTAAACAAGTGATGTTGGAGTAGAACTCTCAATTCAAGGAACTGGAACTACCCTCTCCTTACTTAGATCAAAAATGATTTTATATCATAGGTATAAAATTATAGGTATAGGTATTGTATTACCCCCTAGGGTTCACTGTCTCCATAAATACAATAAAGTAGATGAAAGGGAATTCAGAGTTTTCTGTTTATGTAAAATAATACTTAAGTTAGTCTCAATTCCAATTTTTAGTAAGGATATCTTAACTGCTGTTTATAAAACTACTCCATTTATATGTTTCTTTAGTGAACTTTGAACAAATGCTAAGAGTAACTAAATCCATTATATCATTTTATAATTTCATAAGTCCAGCATTTTTAAATACTATATTTACTTAACCTTCTCCATGGGGAAGTGGAACAGAATTCTTCCTCCATAAGCCATGCATGTTGTAAGAGGACTAAAATGCTGGAAGCAAGGGGCTAGTAACCCTTTATCCTGTGTACATTACTAAAGTTAGAGAGAATTTTTTTTTTTTTTTTTTGGGGGGGGGGCTGGGGGGCACCCTGCTTCGGTGGGATACTGCTGGTTTGTTGATGATGATTTACTTGCATACCTGATGTAACGCAGCATTTACTCCTTGGACGATTAGCACTACGATATATTCATGGGAAAGTACTAAAGCCTTAGGAGTCATAAAATGCCTAGGAAAAGAGAGGTAATCAAGTATGATCCAAGGAAGGAACTCCTGGAACTTGAAGTGTATGGGTTTTTCTTGTACATAAGATATAACATTAGATGAACTTTCTTGCCAGCAGACCATTTCACAACAGTTAAAAACTACAAAATAGGTTATTTTTTTATTCAGCATTTACCAATTACAATAACAAGATTATGATGATAATGATATGATAATGGCTATAAGGACAGCATGTATTATGAAAAAATAAGCATATAAAACAAAACAATACTAGTCATTTTATGTATAATATGAGCCAGACCAAAAATAAAATGGTGATATCACAAACTTGGGCTTTTTAGATGTTTCTTCTTTTAAAGTATAATAATCTGTTTAAACATTCTAATGCTCAAAGTAGGAATGCTGTATGACCCTTGTGGGTTTAACACTTTGGATTATTATTGTAAACACTATTAGGAACTATTAGCTGTAAAGCACAGATTTCTGTCATTTAATCAATAAGTTTATTAACCCTTTCACTGGCTGTGCTGTAGTACTACACGATGAGCTCAGCTCACTTAGATAAGCTGTGAGTGGTAAATTTGGGTCTAGGTATGAGAGATTGGGTTGATGTGGCACGTGCGCACCATATAAAAAAAAAAAAACTGCACTATGCAGTGTATAGATAAAAAAAAAAAAATTTGGTTTACAACACCAACTTTGTAGTTTATTTTTGTATGGTTTTTATGGTTGTATTCTCGGTTTCTTGGTTCACATTTGATAGAATGGAAGATATATTATAGAGATGATTTTGATTGGTTTTAGGAGTGAAAATAGGTTGAAATTGAGCTCAGTGTAGTGGAAATGTTCTATTTTTGCCGACGTTCAAGAGTAAACCAATCACATCACGCGTCCAATACACATCAACTGGTGGTTCTAATATATGTTCATGAATGTGCTGATATTTATACAATTATTACAATATTGCATAACAGTAAATCTTCCACATTTTTGTGTGAATAAAAAATAAAATGGAATTCATATATAAAGCCTGGAAATATAACTGATGAACAGAGGAAATGTTAATTTAGTTCCAGGAATGCCTGCATTGTTTATTCTGGACCCTATTTTGAAGTTGGAATATTTTAAAATTATGTGAAATTGGCCAAATTACCAATTTCTGATCACTCTGTTGGGCAGTTAAAATAGTTGACTGGGTGATCTCTTGTGCTAAATTGATAAAATGGCAAGACATACTAGCAAAATAGCTAAGAATCTGGTCAGTTGGAACAATGTAATTGGCCTAAAATAGGAACCAAATTGGGCAAAATCGCTGATGCATAAATATTGCCGGCACAGCAAAATTCACGAAAGCATAATTTTGTTAATTTTCGATCAAGTTTCGTACTTTTTTTATTACCTTCAGAAAAACATTATCTACCATGAGAAAAAATTATTTTTTTTGAAAATTCTTGGACACTGTGGACAAGTTTCAGATCAGAGGTCTGGACAGTGAAAGGCTCTGAAACACCAATTTACAATATGACTGAATGATTAAGTAAATAGCATTGTAGATAAGCAAAATTGTTTACTTGCCTTTCTTCTGAATTGATGACCAACAAAATGCTAACTAAAAAAAATATTTTATAGAAAAAAAAATTGAAACATTTAAGCTGATAAATTTAATATGTTTTATATTTAATAGCACTGTAAACAGTAGGAAACATAAAATATACTGACCATTCATGGGGAAAGGGCAGAGTGCCTTGATCCAAGAAATAGAAGTTACCTTCACCTTCCTTGGATCAAAATTGATTACCTATTCTCCAGGTGCTGTATGCCCCTTATAGGTCTAGATTATTATTATTATAATCAAAAAGAAGCGCTAAGCCACGAGGGCTATACAGCGCTGCAGGGTAGGGAAGGAAGCAAGGGAATTGGATGGCAGAAGGGAGGGGGGATGATCAGCAGGTTACAGAAAACAGCGGGGCAGGGGATAGTACGGGGGTAGAGGGTAGCAAGAGATTCAAGTAGAAAGGGCTGAAAGTATCAGAATTTGTGAAGTAAGTCAGTCGTTGTCAAAAAGTCAATGAGAGAGTCCGGATGAAAGGTGGGTCCATCAGCGAGAAGGGAAGGTAAAGAGAAAGCAGCGGGGCGAAGACGACGACAGAGGTAAATTCTGCGTGCTCGTTGATAAAGTGGGCAGTCCAACAGAATGTGGCTGACTGATAATGGAGCTTGGCAATTCTCACAGAGAGGAGCAAGACGCCTCTCCATGAGATATCCATGAGTAAGACGAGTATGGCCAATGCGAAGACGGGAGAGAGTAGTCTCCCAACCTCGACACTGGTGATAAGAAGACGGCCAGTAACCTATACTCGGTTTAATAGACTGAAGTTTGTTGCCGAGCATAGTAGACCAACGTTGTTGCCAACGGGTGTGAAGGTGGGAAGATATTACAGCAAAATAGTCCGTACATGGAATACCTCTATAAGAAACTGGTAGGTCATGTACTGCTGACCGCGCAGCAGTGTCTGCCTGTTCATTGCCCTGTACGTCAACATGACCAGGGACCCAACAAAAAACAATATCTTTATGTTTAGTAAAGATGCGGCGTAGCCAAAGTTGGATACGGAGGACTAAGGGGTGAGGTGTATCAAATTTTTGTACAGCCTGTAAAGCACTAAGGGAGTCTGAGACAACCACAAATGATGACACAGGCATAGATGCAATACGGATAAGTGCTGTAAGGATGGCATATAATTCAGCAGTAAAAATACTAGCTGAAGATAGTAAATGCCCTTGTACGACGCTGTCCGGAAACACTGCTGCGAATCCTACGCCGTCAGAAGACTTAGAGCCATCTGTGTACACAGCAATGGCATGAGAATGAGAGTGAAAGTGGTCAAGAAAAAGAGAGCGGGAAGCGACCGTAGACAGTTGGGCTTTCGAGCAAGGGAGGGAGAAAGAACAGACTCGAACAGCTGGAACCTCCCAGGGGGGCAGGGAAAAGTGAGATGCTACATGTACATAGAAAGGTGGTAGTTGAAGAGAAGACAAGAGCGAATGAAGGCGAAGAGAGAAGGGACGGAGTAAGCAGGGCGGGAACAAATAAGAATGTCTACTAATATCAGTGCCCATTCTATAATGGAAGGATTGCGGAGTCATGAGAGCGTACTTTTAGCGCGGCAATGGGCTTTCACGGCAAATTGGAAAAGGGGGGGGAAACCCGTTCGCTTCTGCTTTGAGGTTTTTCGCAGGGGAAAAAGGGGAAAAAAGCCCCCAAGGCAAAAACGTAATCCTTGGTGATGAAGGGGGGTTTTAAGGCTAGAGGGGGAAGCGGAGATGCCGCTGAATAGATTGGTCACCATAATCAAGTTTGGGTTTAAAAATAAGGGTGGAATGTAGGTGAAGGAGGGTTCGACGATCGTCCCCACGAAAGTGAGAAAAGGGTTTTAGGAAGGTTCACCCGGGGGCTGGAAAAGTTCCTTCAGAGAGGAAAAATTGGGGTTTCCAGGAAAAAATCCTTTCAAAGAGGAGGCCCGGAAATTGACTTTTCCCACGTTGGGGATACGGGGAAGTTAGGGGTTTTCCCAAAGGATAAAGGGAAAGTGACAGAGGGGTCTGGGAAAAGGGGATTTGGTGGGTTTTAGTGGGGGAAAATTTAAACCCAGGGGTGGGGGCCCCAATTTGGGAAACACGGTCGCCCCTTGCCTGCAGGGGGGAAAACTGTAGGGGGTGACAGTCAGCGCCGGCCCAGGCAATAGCGAAGCCCATAAATTTTTGAGTGATGACCAAATATTTGAGGGAAAAAGACTAGGGGCCCAAAATTTTCATTAATGAAAGGGGGA